GTGTGTGTGTGTGTGTGTGTGTGTGTGTGTGTGTGTGTGTGTGTGTGATCATTGTAATTCAAGACCAGGCCTCCAGTCTGTCGAAGAAGTAATGAGGCATCAAAGTTTACGCTTTAAACATCTTCTCTGTCTTATTCCTAATTATTTCACTGTAACGTTAATAAATCAGACACGGAGGTGTTGAGGAGAAAAAGTTCAACATTATGTGCTTCTGCGTATGTTAGCTCTTCAGTTGTGAACATGTACATCGTTGTTTTTCTTTTTGTTTGTATGCATGCTTGTGTCATATCTGAATCTGATATGTCGTGTTGTTTTAATCAGGCTTTCAATGATACATCTTTCATTAGGTTTAGCACTTCCATGACACATCTCATTAGTAATGCTAGTTTACAAAGAGTCATCATTACATCAACTTAAAGTCATCCATCCACAGTTGTTAGCGTTGATCATTTGAGTGTCTTTGTGGAAACATTTGATTTAAATCTAACAAAATGGTGAAAGTGGACACAGCACAGTGCAATCACTTTCTTTAACTTCAACTTTTGCTGCTCTATAAAACACTGTCTCCCCCCCCCCCCCCCCCCCCCACACTCCCTCTAACCCCCATCTTTCTTGTCCTCTTCTTCTATTCCCTCTAGATGACGGTTCAGAGCCGAGTTCAGGCCGGGACACCCCTGCAAGTAGTTCATCCCGTCAGGGATTGGAGGATCGGACAGAAGAGAAAGGCAAAAAAGACAAGAAAAAGAAACCGAAAACTAAGAAGAAGGACAAGAATAAGGGGAAAGGAAAGGAGAAGGAGAAAAAGAAAGCAGGGGAGCCTGAGGAGACGGAGAAGAAGAGCAAGAAAATAGGCTTTGGCCTGCTACGGTAAGTAACCGTGTGTGTGTGTGAGTGTGTGAAAGAGCAGGTGAGATGATTATTGTTGGTCGTAAGCATGCGTTTGTGGTCAAATGCTAAAATCCCTTCTATCCAGCATGTCATAAACTATTTCTAGTGTGTGTTTGAGGGTCATTTTGTGTCATATAGAATCAATAGTCTCATTGTTATATGAACATCATATCCACATACAATGTTTGTTATAAGCTGTCTTAATCTTTTTTTTTTATATTGCTTTAAAAGCTTGAAATTAAAGGTTTAAATTCACATTGACAGCAATCAATGAATCAAACCCACTGGCTGCCTGCACGCTCTCTGTCCGTGCACTAACTGCGCGTCGACAGTCCTCCACAAGCTGCTAGCTTGACAGCTGTGAGTGCTAACAATATCCATTATCATTGTTTACATTCGTAATGGTAATGTCGGGCGAGCGCTTTGGAGAATGTCACAAAATCAGACTAATGGCGTCCGTCATCTACAAAAACCTTTTTGAGGTTTTTTTTTTTTTCACCATCTCTGCTCATGTATAGATGTGTTCACTCTATATCAGACTAAAATAAACATTACACATGAACACTGAGGTATTTTTTCTCCCCCTCCATGAAACACTATCTCATGTTCACAGACACACAAAGGCCACTCTGAGAGTGGTGCCCCAATTTCCCTAAGAGGTGGTGCAAATTATCTGTCAGAACTATTTCATGTGATTAACTTTAAACACTATATCTTCCAATGTGAATGGGGCATTCAAGCAGACACGCAGCATGAATGGGGCGAAGTGTTTCACTGAACGATTTGTACTTTCCACCTTAATTGCTACCTAACATCAGGTTGCTTCTGAAAAGGGGGATTTCACGTGACCATTACATAGATTCGGATCTTAAGAAAAAAACTTGCATGCAATTTGATTCTGGAGAATTCGGCCGCTGCCCTTCAAAACACACCGACTAAAGCGGTCTGTGTGAGCCAGAACACAGAAAAACACTTCCAGATCGCAAAGTCCGATTGTACCGCAAAGATTATATCTCGGAATTGCATGTTATTTAAAGCGAAATATTACGCAATTACAGTACTACGCACGAATTGTACTTGATTTAATAGGTTCTGTGCTGTTTTCTTTGAAAGTATCCACCTACTTCTTCACCTCTTTTCCACCTTGTTCTCCTCATTCTCACCTCAGTGTGCTTTTGCCTCTAGGTTCACTCGTTAGTAAGAAGTGTTCTGATGGAGAGCAAAGGTATTTCTATCTGTGATGTCTTAGTCGTGCAGTTGAGAGTGTAAATACTCTTTATACCTAAGCCTGTTTATCACTGATGGGTGTGTGCTGTTTTCTATCAGTGAAATCCATCCACACTGTAGACAGGTCTGTGGATTACTGCGGGTAAAGTTTTTTGTGGTTTATGTTTTATGGTGTTAGCATAGACCGATGTGCAAGGTATATGTACAACCAATGGATCATCTATGGCACCATGTGATGTATTTCTATAAATGCACAGATTACACACCTGAGGATCTCGATCATTCCCTCTCCGCCTCCGTCCTCCCCCGCGATCCTCTGTTGCCCTTTCACCATTACAGCTCCGACACCCCTGAAGATATTTTTCCTTTTTTTACCTCCTTCACTCTTTCACTCTGTCTTAACGTCTTAGCAATGTTTTAAGTGCTTCAGAGTTCAGGGAAGGTGACGCCCAATCCCTTCGTTCCACGTTCATCCGTCTCTCCTCCACCATGTGTTATTATGGCCCCGACAGCCTATACAGCACACTGGAGAATATCTCCAGTTTAATCTAACCGAGCCTTCCCTCTGTGCACCTATCCTTCCTTCCATCCGTCCTTTCAACTCACCAGTAATTCCCCCATCACGGCTCGCCTTAAGTGCCTTAAGAAACCACATAATACACCCAGGATATTTTAGACCTTTCCTCTACACCCCATCTCTCATCACCATAAGAGGGCCTTGATTAGAGCCCGGAGATAATCTCTCCCTTTCTCTCCTCTCTCTCAATCGAGACATATTTCTGTAACCTCTGTCTCTCTCTTTTCACACCCCCAACCCCCATAATCTTTGCACTATTTGAAATGTTTTCCTCTCTGGTCTGCTCCCTCCAGCTCCAGCTCCCTATCTGCATTTGATTGCCTGTAATGGAGGTATACTGAAAAGGCAAATTGGTGCTATTCAGTACAGTTCAATCTAGGCCACGCTGCTGATTTGTCATATTCATCTAAGGCCGGCTTTGATTGGCCTAATGGTCTGGAGGAGAGGAGGTATGGGACGCTCAACCTTACTGCGGGGTGTGTGCTTCTACTGTAGTAAATGTAAATGTAACTCATTGGCTAGTTTCACACATTTGAAACACAAGATCTCTTCATCACATGCTGCATTCTGTTTCTATGCACCAACTGCAAAGACACACTTTGGCATTATTACTATGACGTTAATAGTAAGTTTGTCTCTTATGAAAAGAGAGAGAGATTGGAAGTGTAGAGAAGTTGAACGTAATCTCTGTAATGTGCCATTCGCTCTGTTGACCCGGACATTAGAGTCAGACGGTGAGAGTTTGTTTAGAATGCCCTTTAAAGTGGACAGCTTGCTCGTTCACTCTGTCATCTGAACTACTGCCACCTGCCAATCAGTCATGCCAATCATCTGTGCGTGCGTGTGTGAGGACGATGGTGACCATCCTACCGTCATGAATAATCATGTGGTGATAGAACATGATTGGTCACACCGTCAGATGGTTGTCATATAGCTGGCACGCAGTTGCTGTGAATCTTCCTCAGACACTGTGTGTGTGTGTGTGTGTGTGTGTATGTGTGTGTGTGTGTGTGTGTGTGTGTGTGTGTGTTTCCAAAATGTCTGCAGTCGTGTGACACTTTCCTCTTCGCTCAGACCCGTTGAGGTTGATATTGAAACATTCTGAATATGCATCTTTCACACATACACGCGCACCTTCAACCGCAGCTTACCGCTCTACGAACACGATCGACGTGGGTTCACAGCATGCTTCCAGAGAAGGTGGGGTGTGTGTGTGTACAAATAGAAATGTGTGTAATCTATGAGGTGAGACTGTGAATGTGAAAGGTCTTTGAGAACCAAAGAGGGGCAGTGCAACATGTTTATGCGATTGTTCATGTGTGTTGTGAAGTATCTGTGCATGCTGTTCATTTTCAGATTTCAAATGGTGTGAATTTATGAGAATCTATGGTAATTAATGCAGGGTTGCCAGCTCGGCTGTAATCGAAGCGCGGCTGTACTCTCCTCCCTTTCCTGTGTGCGTATCTCTTGTGTCATACATGTTTACTGACCGTCGAATAAATGATGTACGTACAAAAGAAAATGCGTGAAGCTATTTTGCCCGAGCAGAACTTCAAACTCAAAGAGCAACATAATTGGAGAACGCAGCCACCATATGAAAACGTGTGAATGGGATCAGATAAAGCACAGGAAGTTAAGGTTACAATTAGAGCGCCGTCGATTTCTTTGATTCTCTTTCTTCACCTCTCGTTGACGCCTGTAATTACGCTCTCTGCCATATTTGCCTCTTTCTTCTCTCTCCTGGTCATAATGTAGCACCTCTGTTAGACGTAGAGCGCCCCGGCGTCGGGATCGTCAGCCCATCTCCACGATAGCGGTGCTTTTACTGGCCAGGCAAGGACATCTGTTTTTTTAATTTCTCATTATTCAAAGAATAAGATAATGATTAAATATATAGCATCATAGAAACATTATTTAACACCAGTTAGCAGTGTAACAATGTTAACATGTAGAAACGGGACAAATAACAAATACAGTTAGCCAATAATTGCAAACTAAAGGGAAATAATGTAAGAGAATACCATTCAAAAGTACAGTTCAGAAGACGCTTCTAACTGACTATCTAGTAGGACTGGACCAAATGTATAATTTTTTTTTATAATCGTAGCTTGTTGTCTGTCATATTTAAGATGTCATCACCTTAAAACATAAATCCTTTGGCAAAATCCACAATTTGAGTAAGCTGAACTAAGTTACTCTTTTATTTTATTAAATCAACTTTCTTTAATGAATATAACTCGACGGTTTTGTCTACATACACACATGTGGGTGCAGACTGAGGACTTGGCTGTGTGTGTGTGTGTTTGAGAGAGAGAGAGAGAGAGAGTGAGGGGAAAAGAAGGTGGAAGGTGGACTATTGCATAGGTCTGTCACGATAACTCATTTTGTTGGAAGATTTATTGTCCCACAGATGATTTTGACAAAGGACATTAATGTCATTTTTAGATCATTTTATGCCACTGATATGATGACAATGTAACAGCATTAATCATGCAAGTTCACCCAGCATTTTAATGTGGCTTTATAATTCAAATGTCAACGTTATGAACCTTCAAAGCTTCAAACAGCCCGGGATGTCACAAAGTTGAAATACCATATCTAGTATTTGATCTATTTTATAGCGCTTCCGATGAGCTAGCATTTCAGCTACATAGCGACCAAACAACAGGGTCGGATTTGGGTGAAGGCAACGCAAAGCTCTTTGAAGCTCTTTAGGTAAAACCCTCTCTTTTGACCAGACGTTGCCCGTCATTGTTTCATAATTAGAGAGCACATGCAAAAAGGGGGGGGGGGGGGGGGAACCCACCAGCTGCCAATCAAACATCATGACAGAAAGTCATTGGAGTGTCACGGACTGATGTCATGCCTGCCAATCATCTGTGTGGGTTTGCAAGTGTGTCTGCGTGTGTTTGATTGAATTTGAATGTTTGCTTACTTACACTGTCTATCTGTGTGTGTGTGTGTGTGTGTGTGTGTGTGTGTGTGTGTGTGTGTGT